GGGGGGGGGGGGGGGGGGGGGGGGGGGGGGGGGGGGGGGGTACCGGGCCGAGCGCGTGTGCGTGTTGTCATTCCACTTACGCCGCACGAAAGACGTATTGCATGTAGTCGATCGTTACCATCGGGACAAGGTGTCGACGTACCGACCAAGAAGGGCTATCCACGTCAAGCTGACCACCAACAGAAACATCCACAACCAACAAGCGCCGCGATAAGAAAAAACGAACCATCGGCCGACAACAGAAACAAGCGGCAGATACATGGGCTAGATGCAACTCCTTTTCACGTCTCCACACCTGCTCGTACTGCCCGGCCACAAATCTCGAAACGAGGAGGTAGAGCGCCGCGCTCAGGGAAGGCGTGGAGAGAAGACAGCCGCTGACGTGCACGGGGTAGAGGTGGTGTCGGGCCCCGTCCCCGACGCAGCGCAGCCACCACGAGTCGCAACGGTTGAGGACGACTTCTCCGGAGAAAGGGGTGCCCTGCAATCAATGCAAAGCAACGTCAAAGCAATCTTCTCGTGCTCAGAGAATCAACGCGATTGGCGACGGGCCATTTCCACGAGTCATTTGAACCCACATGAAGGATGGAAGCCGAGGAACAAGGGACACGCGCCCATGACTGCATGGACAACGGCAACAATGACAAAGCCACAAACGAACACATGAATATGGACAAGCTGCCGTGCGGTGCGGTGCGCGCGTACGCGCAAAAACACAAAGATATGCTCCAGAAATCTGCAACAAAAAACAGCGAAAAAAATGCGAAAGCATAAACGCTTTAAGAACTACCCTACACGGTCACAAGCAAGATCCATTGGGACGAAGAAATGGCGGTATGAGGGCTGCATGGTCTTGGAACTGAATAGCACCTTGGATTCTGGTCGTCCGGGCAGGGTGGCAGAGGGAAGCAGCAAGAAGCGATCCTTCTCAGAGTTCTCCAGTAGCAGCGACGACGGCAGCCCCTGCAACACGCACGCGCAGATCGTCGGGCGCGTTGGTACCCACATCACCATAAATAGTATCGGCTCTACATATATGTTTGAGCACCACGTTCAACAACACCGCAAGAAAACATTCCCAGCCAAGACTGCGATCAGGACAAGTCACAATGGCAGACGTGGAGCATGATTGACAATAAATCACACTTGTTTCGCCAGGGCTCGTCGGCCCTGGTCCATCGAGGGAGCCCATGGTCCAACACCCATCGCTATTGTGTCTTCACTAACATTAGTTGCCGTTATCGTCAGCAACAACACTGTTGTCATCGTCAACGATGTTCCCACGACTTGCTCCTCTCGCGCAACAACAAACGCAGATATTGCCACAAGTCCGCCGGTTGACGACTACTGTAACCAGATAGTCAGCTGCACTCGCTTTCGTGCGTATGAGCCATCTCTCACCTCGACAAGCTTGGTCATCTCTGCCCCATCCGCCCCGCTGATGAACATCCCGGCGTGTTCTAGGCTGTGAAGCCGCACCTACACAAAACAAGATCGACCACGGATACGCATATATTTGCAAGTGGCCATCATACCCGAGGTCCTCCCAGTACTGCAATCACTTACTTGCAGCATGGGACACCGGAATGGGATCCAGCAGAGGCGACAAACGCGAAGAGGAATTCGCCCACGAAAGGCAAGGCATGAAAGAAAATAAACGTTACAAATCCTCCCACCCACGGTGCGAGATCCTCCAAAAATCAAGCGAGCTGTGGGAAAGGACAAAGCAGCCAATTTACAACCACAGGAAGAACAGCTAAGGACAAGAAACGCCCGTTGCACGATATCCCACACCCCCTGGACCGATTTCGAAGAATACCCTGCAGCTTAAAAAGGGGACGGTGCCGAAAATGGCGGCGTTGGGCCCGTCTAGTCCAGAGCTTTCCGAACATATTCGATTCCAGCATATCTTCCTCTTCGCCGCGGAGCAATAGGGGTACGGAATCCGTAACAGGGGGTATGCTATCTTACGCAACCTAAGGTTGTCTGGCAACACGAACAACCCACCTTCCCTCCCGGGCCGTCGGCCTTCGCCTCGAAGCGCAGTCTCAAACGAGGGAGTTCCACGAAGTCCAAGGAAGCGGGGTCCTTGCAGGCCAGCACGGGGTCTCGCGTCCATGCCAACACGTGGCTGAGGCCGTCCAACCGCAGGAGAGCCTTCGCCAAGACCTTCATCGGGCTGCGTGACGCCAGGTGTAAGCGATAGGAAGTTGTTGAGAGGATTGTGCTGATAGCAGCTCAAGGAAGGGGGCATGTTCGACACACCAGGGGATGCGTTGACGAGGGGGCACCGTGGATAGGATGTAGCACCATCGGAAGAAGCTTCCACGTGCAGAACTTTTCATTGTCACATTCAGGTATCTAGCAGAGAATATTACGCCTTGGCCGAAGATTCCTATTGTCCTGCCGCGCCGCACAAGGAAACAAGCCGGGGGTGGCTCAGAGACAAGAATGTAGAGAAGCAACGAACAAGCTTCCGTTGCCACTCCTCCATCGAATTCCTTGCTCTTTCTTGTTCTCACCTGCCGTCTGGAACGAAGAGTAAGTTGAGGAGCGTCGACTGGTCCACCTTCCCGCTCGACTCCTTGCCCTCCGACAGCTTCACGGCGTAACGGCCGTTCCCAAGGGAACCTGCCTCAGCCCCAAGGCCGCCCCCTCCGTTCGGGGCCACCCCGCCGGTGCCGCCCTTCAAGGCCACCAGCCCCACGAGGGTGTCGAGGAGCTCCGCCTCGGCGGCAGCCTAGTACAGCAAACATAACGAGTTGTCGATGTCTATGATCTTGTCTTCACGGTACAAAGTCGTCAAGCCTCTGCTCAGGACGTACCTCATTATATACGCACTGGTCCGCTGCGCACGCCTTCCGTGGTCACAGGACAACTTTGCCTTCGGAAAGCGTGCCCGTTTCGAGAAGCCAAATTAATGAAATCAAAATGGACCCAGAAAAATCCTCCAAACGCGAACATAGCACATCACCAACAAAAAGTGTGCAGAACGGGAAATGTTCCATTGAATGTAGTAATCGTTTGAGTTCAGCGGGGGGTGGGTGAGGGGGGGGGGCGCCGTAGTGCAGGCTTAGTAGTGCCGGGTGCCGTCTCAGTAGCGCTTGCCGGGATCGATCGCGCCACGAGGACACCACGTAAAAGACAAGTTGATTGACGCTCTGCTTCGTAGTGCGGGTGAAAATTGAGGGGCGAACATCGGCACAACAACAGCCAGCTCCCGACTGCCGTCAAACCATGCAGACTAGTACCAAACGATAGTCGAACACAAGAAACACAGCAGTTTACTAAAAAAAAAATTAAGCGTGACGACCAATTCGGGCCGGCAAATGATACGTACTTCCACCTTTGACGGAAGTACCAACGTGGTGCCAAAAAACAGTGAAGACTTGAAATTACCTCCGCCTTTTCAGCGTCCATGGCACTTGTTCCACCGCTGCCGCTTCCGACCGGCACTAGAGGTTGTTGCTGCTGGCCGCTACCAGCGGAAGATGACGTCGAAGGGTCTGAGGAAGGCGATGGTGACGACGAAGACGATTCGATTGTGTCCGGAGCGTGGACCTTGGCGAGATGGGGGAGACTCACGTCCGGGAAAACGACTCGGGTGATCACGCCGAAGGCTTCGCTGTGGCCATGCCCGGACTGCAACGTGGTGTTTGTGTTGGTCAGGCAAAAACGATGAGGAGACGGTGGGCGGGACAGGAGGACACGACAAGGGGAGGGGCAGGCAAGAACACATAGAGAAGAGAGAGAAACGGACAGAGCAAGGGAGGGATGGAGAGCGGAAAAGAGAGAGGGAGAAGAGGAGGACAGCGACAGAAAAGGAACAAAAGAACGGATGGAAAGTGATGAGGAATTGGCATAAAAGGACAGGGGGAGAGAAAACAACTAACGACAATAGGGCAAAGCAGAGGTAGAACATTGTAGCGCGTGTCTACAGCACTGTGCAACAGTTTCACAAAGGTTTCCACATTATCAGTTCGGCACTTTGTCAGAAAAGGCAGGATACGCCGTACAGCAACAGCAGTAGCCAAAACAGCAGCAACAGCAATCCCTGAGATGGGAAAGCAGGAAGAAACCAACGGGAGCAACAACCGTGGCAGCAGCAAGCACTATGCTCAAGGTAACGGGAAAACTTCACTCGCCTCGTCCTTCTTGGCCTCCTTGAAGAGACGAATCTTGATGAGAGTCAGCCCCGCGCCGCCCCCTACATCACCCTCCCCCTCGCCGTCCTCGAGGCTGTTATCGATGGCTGTGGCGGCGGTCTTCTTGCCTGAGCTGTAACCGCCACCGTCGTCCCCTCCATCAGTATCTTCCTCCGTGTCGCTGTTGTTGCTGTCGTTGAGGTCAACGGCTTTGGTCCCGGCCCGCTTGTAACGGTTGAGCTTGGACGGTACTCCGACCAAGCTGTCGTCCTGTGGAAACGGAACAACCACGAAAAAAAAAAAAACGAAAAGCAAAACCAGGAGTAGTACCTCGGCGGCAAGTTTTGTTGTAGCAATAGATGACACTGAAACTCTCGGAAGAGTATCATTTTGCGATACTGCAACATCATCAGAGAAGGATCGGGAAGAGATGTGAACGGAGGCAACTTCGAAACCAACCATAGTCTAGCATACACCCACCTACCGCATCAATGAGGTACAGCGACTTTTGTTAGACCGGACCTCAATCGCACCAATATACTGCATATCCATCACAGTGACCCAGCTGCATCTGCAACATCCGGTTGTTCACCATCCACGCAAGACGCCCACGCAATACTCACCATCAAGCACTTGGAACTCAAAAGTATAGCATTTGACTCAGCACGAGACTGCAAGACCACAGAACAAGATACCGCAAATTAGTCTTAAGCGACACGCTGCACCTGATACTGCCAGAAGTGGAAGGATCGAAGCAGCACCTCTGGCACAATGCCTAGCAGCAGGCGGGCCGGGATACGGACAGAATCCCCCGCGCCCTTCACCTGCGAGGGCAGATCCAAGCGAACAGAGGTTCACAGAGGCGTTAAGAGAAGAATAGATGCACTGATCAATATTCCAGAATTGAGGCAAAATAGCTATGAATACATGTGTCCTGACACTCGTCATGTTGCCTCGGGAAAATCATGATTCGGGGTCGAGATAAACAGAGCAGCCCCGGCGCGACTACATACAACAGCAGCTGCTGCAGGATCGATCCGAACGACGAAGTATGCTACCATTCGAATCAACATTATCGCAGGTGAACGTGGACGTCATACCTCTGCGGCCCTCGTGATAACCAACGAGTTCTCCCTGAAGGGCTTGGACAGAGGATCTCCCGCTGACAGGTGAGCGCCGGGGTCATCGCATCGGCTTGCCTGACCATGGGGGGGGGCATGAGGGGGGCGTACTCTTATGTTTTGCATGCCTTACCGGTTAGACCATTAATCAGACCATTGACCACGCGTCCTCGAGAGGACGGAGCATTGTTTCCACAGGACCTATCACCGATGGCCAATCATTCCTCCCTACTTTGCCAGAGGTGGCTCACAAACGTCTTCCCGATTCTATTTATTCTACCGATCTCAGGCTCAAAAGAGGTTTGTTCCCTGTGCCGTGAGCTAAAAGAGGTCAGGTGCCATCAAAAGTGCGCACCATTCCCCTGAACGAACAAGTTACAAATAAAAACTGAACGCAACACTAACAGCGGCACATCAACGCCCACGAGCTCCTCTCACAAAACTTTCAACGATATGATCACGCGTTCCGAATCGAATCGCTCAGCCAGTCAGCCCGCCGCCAGCTCTACAAATTCTTACCCCGGACGGTGGGCTGGAGACGAGCGAGAGAGACGCGTCGGACGAGAATGCGAGAGTCCGGTAGAAGCGTCGGCCGTGCTCCACAACGTCGAACACGTGCACCACCGGAGGGTCTTTGGCGACAACCACCTCCTTGAGGTACTTCACTTCCCTCGTCACCGTCTTCGCTTCCTCCTCTCCCTCCGCTGGCTCCGCACCTGTTGGGCATTGTTCATGTTGTTGCCCAAACACGCTCATTTCAACACGGGAATCGCAACTGTTGGCGACACGGCCCGTGCCGAGTTCTGCGCCGGTTTCTGCTAGCCTCTTCGTGTACGAAACGGAGACCGCAACACCACCGCAGCCTTTGTTGATGCACCATGCACAGCAGAGCAAGTGAAGACACATACCCGGCGGTTTCCGGTGAGACTATTACACCCTCGCACCTACACCCAATGAAGCCAGAGACTGCGTACACGCTGTGTCGGCACCAGCACAGATGCAACAACAGTATCACAGTCCGAAAGAGTACCGGTCAACGCAACTGTGCACCTCAGCTGCCATCGTGATGCACTGACTCTTCGGTCCTAATCCTACCAACCCTAGTATTCTGACACACCATGATGAGCTGGCTCCTTGACTTTAACGACGTGATACCCAGACAGGTGGGCGAAGGTGTGGGAGTTCGTGTAGGCTCCCTGAGGCAAAAACAGCCTGATGTCTGGGAAGTACCTGGCGTACGGTGGCAACGAAGAATGTGCACCAGACAATTGGAACGCAAGTCAGCACCGCCCGCACAACCGTTACGTCAGCACTATCCATACCGAGAGAATGCTTCAAGGAGGACGGATACCTCACGACCCACATCCGGAATTCCTGGTAGTATGCGTGTGTGATTACGCATGTGTCCCATGTCGAGTCGAGGAAGTTTCAAGAAGAAGAAGAGACAGTCATAGCGACGGCGGTCGCCGCATCCTTACGTAGAGGTGGCACAAACTGTACTCGCAACTGGATTTATTCCCCAACACCATAACCACACAGATACAACAACAACCGCACCAATGCGTTTCTCTTGTGTCCAAGTGTCCAACGACAACAACACAACACCACGGGAGAAGAGCCTGCAAACCGAAGCTATCCGACGAAAGGAAGGGATGAAGCTGCGACCAACACAGCGATGCATACACAAAAAAAAAAAACGCACCTCGAGCGCACGGGTTCCAGCACAGCGGCGACCCATGCCTCTCCCGCTGCCTCCCTCCCCGTGTAGGGCCGCTTGTACGCCAGCAGAGGGACGCGAGTGTCCATGTCCCACAGCTGCACGTCGTGCCGACGTCCTACCAGCCTCAGCCAGGTGCGACGGGTGGTGTTGAGCACCTCCGCGCACCCCACCGTGCTGTCACGAAGACGCCGAAATTGGGTTCGTTACTGTCTTGGGGCACATGTTTGTTAACGATGAATGTTAATGCTACCGTGTGTTTCGCATGAAAGCACACTACCACTCCTGGACCGATTGCTATAGCTCGGTTGCTACGTAATGGTGTGTCATGACGTTGGGATGCTGTAGCGATGTGCTCTGCAGGCAAGCATGAGAGCGTCGTACTGACGACGAAATGCCCGAGGTAAGGATGAGCGGTGAGCTAACCCGTCATCGAACCCACAGGCGTGTGCTGCCGTGTGCTACCGAATGAACGATGCGAAAATGATTGTTGGTGTTCAGTTTGTGTCACGGTGGTGATCGCAGTGTAACGGTGCGATCTGACAGGACACGGATGGACAGATGGAACGAAGAACTCTTCCAACACGCGACCAGCCCCAGGTAGGGTCTACATCCATGGCGCCATCGAAGTCGTGGTTCTCCGGAGCTATATATATGACCCTTGTATGATCGTTGAGGTCCGCTTCCATTAGCTGAGAGAGGCTGGCGGCGTATGAGACACTCTTGCGTACTAGGGGGTACGAGTTCGTGGGAGCCTAAGGGTTTCAGACAACTACGTCGCGATGTCGCTTCTACGTAAACCTTAACCTTTCGTCTGGGTGAGTTCCAGCAGCCTCCCTACAGACTCGTGAACGATCGTTGTCGAGCAATACAGTTGCGGCCCGCCATTAAGAAAAAGACCCTCAACTTTTGAGGAAAATTAAGAAAAAGTGACGAAGAAGCACAGCTCAAAACGGACGCAAAGATAAGAAACATCCGAACAAGAAAACACCCACCCACAGAGGCATGATATATAAGAACCTAGGAGACCGGAGCTCACGGCAAATAGCTTGAGTGTCTTTTGTGCGTTTCTTCCGAACAATGCATTGTTTCGGTTGTTGGACAGGGTGGGGCGGCACACCTCGGCACCTTGGCAGCACCAGCTAGACGAGACCTTTGTTTCTGTGTTTCGCACTCGTCGGTTGGGAGACGTTCGTGGACGGATGATACGGTTGTCGAAATAATGGAGAACATAGAAAACGGCAACTACAGTAACTGAGTGACGTATAAGCCAGGCGATAGGGCCGAAAAAAAAGAAATGGTCATTATAAGAAAACCCATGAGCATTCGACCAACAGCCAGAAATATAAGAAACTCAATAAGAAGAAAAAGAGACTCTGAGCCTCGACCCGAAATTGACGTTTCTTATTCGCGGGCCCCAACTGTACGCTCATGCTGTAACTGTGTGTATCCCCCTTCCCTCGACGAACAAAACCAAGCGGCCTAGTCATACGTTCAGGGAATGCGTGCAAATGACTGCGGTCGTGTAGGTAAAAAAAGTAGCACTTCCATATGTGAAATGGAAGGGCGGTCTGCAACGCTCTAATGTGCTGAAGCCGCCAGTGACCCTGGGATGTACTAGCAGCAGCAACCGCCGCAGCAACACCAACACCAACACCAACACCAACACCAACAACAACAACAACAACAACATCAACAACAGCAGCAGCAACAACAACAACAACAACAACAACATCAACAACAACAACAACACCAACAACATCAACAACAGCAGCAACAACAACAACAACATCAACAACAACAACAACAACAACAACAACAACAACATCAACAACACCAACATCAACAACAACAACAACAACAGCAGCAACAACAACAACAACATCAACAACACCAACATCATCAACAACAACAACAACAACAACAACAACAACAACAACACCAACAACACCAACATCAACAACACCAACACCAACACCAACTACATCAACATCAACAACAACACCAACAACACCAACTACATCAACATCAATAGAGACGATATTGTTGGTGTGGATCACCTGGCAGAGTCTTCCGCAAGGCCGAAGATGGACTGGAAGTCGGGGTGTTCCTCGATAGACCGGGGAAGGGTCTCCATCGTGTGTCGGCGCAAGGTAAACTCTCCCAGCTGGGTGTTCACCTGAACAGAGGCGTCGGTCGCAAGGCAGCCTTTTCGAAATACCGAGAATCGGAATAGTTATACGGTTGATACACTGCTGTACACGCGTCTCCAACGTGTGTCTACTCTCCTTCCTACGCGGTCTCCTTAGCAGAATACAGAAGAATGGGTTACATCACCTTCCAAGGTGGTTGGTTTCATCGTTCCGACCAGCCCATGTGAGTCACACGTACACCAAGAATACAGACGTTTGGTTGAAACGGAAGCGATTTTCATTCGCCCTTTATTGGCCATCGTTAAAATAATTTGCAGCACCTCCGACATGTTTTTAGTCCGACAGCGAGACCGCGGCACCTCGTAGCGGTGCAGGTGTGGCTTATCGTGAAAATCGACCACCAGAAAATTCCGGAAATCGAGTAAATTCGTCGACCGATGCACTACGCAGTTGTACCTCACTGGGTCATTGTCGACTGTGTGCGTCACATATTCGCACTGCGCACACCTCACGATAGTCGACTACACCATTTGTCCAAAGACTTTCACCGAGCTACGAAGCTCAATCAAGCCACCGACCTCTGTGTCTACCGCCTGAGTCAGCCTCCTGAGATACTCTTCGTACGATAGTGCCGCCGATCCTTCCAGTTCTTGCTGCGCCAGCTGATGCCGCACAACTTCCGTGTCGGGCACGAATCTGGTCGGGTGATTTAATACCGCAAACATTCCAAGGAAGACAATGGTTCACCTTGAATAGCTTATGCTGCGAATTGGTGAGTGGAACACAAAAACAAGTCGATTGATTCGACAAAAAAAAAAAAGCAGCGTCAAACGTCGATTCGACTCTGACATGTAACGTGAAACTGGGCATTGTACGAGTACACGCCCAAAGTGTGGCAACATACCGCCTTCTTCTGCATCCGGCACCTTCTGTTTCAACGATTCGCCCGGGTGTCGGCTGCGAACAGCTCATTGCCCTACGCTGCACCGGACCCAACGCCTCGCCCCCTCTGCGCCTCTCCTCCCTCTCCACAATGAACCCACGACGGGCCAACTTTGTCGCTACAGACGCTCAACTACAACCGCAGCACAAGCGGGCAATCCAATCCCACTCGCCTTCCCCTGCAGTTGATCCTTTGGATGCTCTCCCAGTGTCGGTCCTTGAAGAGCACGTCAGTCTTGCGAGAGAGCCCGGTGCGGTCGCCGGTTAGGGTGATGACTCGAACCACTCCCTCCAGAACCTTGTCCGCGAGGAGAGGGTTGGCCTCCATCCACTGCAGAATCTTCACCCTGTGCGGCACGGAATTCATCAAAAACAAAATTTAAGGGAAGATAAAAAAGGAGAGCTGTCAGTCGGACGTGGACTCTTTTAGCGTCCATCGAAGAAGGGGGTACGTGGAAGGGGCGGGGCGAATAAATGAAGGGTAGAGGAGAGCTTTGGCTGTCGTTCACCGTCAAATGCCTAGGCAGTTGCTGGTACGACACTATTATCGACAGGCAACGCGGGCACTCCCGCTTCGGCCAGCTTCGGAACCAAATCGTCCGTTCGTCGATGTAGCAGCACTCTGACATCAGTCTTCAAAGCCACTTTCAACCGCCTCCGAAACTTCAACAAACGTTGCACCAGAGCCCCTAAAACCTGCCCAAGTTGCAAGGCGATATTTTCCCACAAGCAACCGCAGCACAATCCAGCAAAGCCGCACCGGTGCTGCGTGATGATCTCGAACACCTCGGTCGGAGGAATCTGAAGCGCCCGGCTCATCCTGTCGATCCCGCCGCCGGTACCTCCTCCTCCAGACGCCCTGCGAATCCCGTCTGCTCCATCGACGGCCTCCAGATCGAACCGGTGGTGCACCATCAGCCAAACCTTTAATGGTACGAAAAATAAACAAAGGCGTTCGCGAAAAGAAAACATCTCGTACGAGAATGTATTTGCTGACCTCACGATGTAGAGTTACAGCAGCGGGCGACTGTGGCTGCAGCTGCGGGCTCCTACAGATGTCGGAAGGAAGGGCGTCGGGCGAAGATTATGAAGACGTTCGACAAAAAATAGAGCATTCCAAGCATCCCGACGAAATGCTGCTGTGCAGAGAGGAAGAACACACCGTCGGAATCACTAGTCTTCCACGAGACCGAACGTAAAACCGCCGTGCCAATCAATCGAAACCTTCGGATACGGAGAGCACATGGAAGCCGCACGATCAAATAACGGCTCGAAACCTAGCTTGTAGTTAGTCCCAAGTACGGAACAGATTGTCTCTCAAAAACAAACCTGTGCGGACAGAACAACGGATGCCACCGTCTTGTTGACGTCACCGACGCCGAGGTTCTTGAAGAGCAGCAACAGATGCGCGTGAAGGATGCAGGCGACCTTGGTGTCTCCGTCCCTAACGGGAATCATCCCACGAAAAAGCGGAAACATCCAGAACAAGGATGGAGAGGAATGGCGCGAAAACCCTGCTCTAGAACAAGGCGGGTACTGTAAGTGACAGAAACTCTCTTAGCGACCCGGAGGTTTTCAAAGGTCCAGCCCCGGCGAACACACCGCGAAAACATGTCGTGCGGGTGGTGCCAATGCCATGAATATCGAAGCATGCATAGCAGCAGTCTTACCTTGCTGCTCGTTTGAGCCACCTCTCCAGCACTGGGAACGCCTCGCTGTTCAGTTTGCGGCGCCATCGCCCCTGCGCCCTAGCCAACTCGTCCAGCACGCGGGGGTCCCTGCGAAACGTCAACGCCAATGACGCGAGCGCGAAACAGGGTCTTCAAAAACTTTGGCCTCTGGCTCTCCTTGTCCCCCTGCCCCCTGGCCCCCTTCTTGGAAACAGTAGATGGAAAAAAACGAGCTCCTTGAATCATTCCACTCGTGAACGACACCCTGGTACATCTTTTCAGATGTCCCACATCTGTCGCGTGAGTTTAGCATCCTTGTTCAACCTGGAACACTTGTCTTCTGACTAACTAGGCCCGACAAAGTGAGAGAGGACGAGGCCACCAGCGGCCGTTACAACAGAAACTGTACAGCAGTGCTCCCACCGGGCTTGACCACAATATGTGCCATAGAAAGGAGCACGAATAATGCGAAACACCTCTATTTCGGCCCCCGAGAGATTACAAAAAAAGCACGCCCACCTGTCCTCTTTTCTCAATCCTCTGGTCCTCCGGCAGCGGCCTTCGTCCCTCAAGAACAGGAGGAACCCTTCCACTCTCGCCACCAGCCGGAAGATGTAGAGAATCAGGGGGCTCTGCGTGGATGTGTATCGACCAGTGTCCAGCTCGAGTGCCGTCTCCAGCATGCGGTCCAAGCTCGAAAGCAAAATCTGAAGGAATCACACGAACGAAAAGACAGACAAACGAACAGCAGCGTGCTACGGTGTATAGTGCCAGTACAAAGTAATGTATCAAATTCACAGCTGCGTAGGCTTGGACATCGCCAGCATGGACATCGCCAGCATGGTTTTCACGGAACCCCATTGTATGGCTAGCTTGAGGGGGCACGACTAGCGTACTGGCCGAGATCGACAGCAAGGCGGAACATAAGCTAGATGCTATCAACAACACCAACACCAACAAGCATCAACAGCAACGTGGCAGACAGGCGTTAATAGCAACAACAGCCACAGCAACAGCAACAACAGCAACAACAACATCAACAACAACCTGAAGTGCGTTACCGCGTCAAAATTGCGGAGTGTGCTTGCATACCCTGGGGCTCTTCAGCAGCTCGTTGAAAAGCAGGCCGCACGGCGTAGTGAGGTGATCTCTGGTCTCCGCCGGAACATGGGTCGGCATGGCCTTCGTCTCGGCGGCCTGGCATCATACGGTTCGGTACGGTAATCCGTCACACCGCACCGAATCAAAACATGATGCAAGAACAAACAATGTAGCAGCATATCTTCACGACGCATTTCGCATGAACTGTAGTCAATTCCAACCTTCCGAGCGAGAGGGGCGCTAGCACTGAGTGGGTGTTAGGACTTGCTGCGGTGCACAGCGCCAACGAAGTGGTAACAACCCAGCGCCTACCGCAAATCGCACGCGCCCACGAATGTTGCCTCCTTAACAGGGTAGATAGCGAAACACCAACCTAAACCAACCCTTGGAACAAAAACCGTTTTTGTCAAGTCACCTGCCACTGTGCGGGCTCGAAGAGAGAGGCGTCCAATACTTCCTGCAGATCCTCGCTCCACAAAGCCTGACCCACAGAGGTCGCCGCAGTCAAAGGTGTCCCCACGAATTTCATCCGTGACGTCGCGACAAAAAAACAGAACGGGATGCAGTCGTCACATCAGTCAACGGGTAGAGTAGTGACGAGTGAAACGACGAACGAACAAACGGCACAATTACGCTGTCAACCTAACCATCTGGTCGAGATTTGTACTTGATAGGTCCAGTCGCGAACAAGACAACACGACGAGCTGGAGCCCCTACAACGCCCTCGGAATGCTTCGTCAGCGTTCGCAGCAACAACGCGAACGCGCAACGTTCAACATGGGCGTGCAGAAGGCCGCCGGCAGTCATTGATTTTCCTGAGACTCGTTTCGTACGTGTTCTCGGGGGTAAGTAACCCAACAGCGACACTGTACTGGTATCGTAGCATTGGACTCTCAACGGAGAACATGTTCTCACGGTCAAGTGCTTACAAGTTAGTTTCGACCCTTTTGAGCCTCAAGTGCTCAACTCCCAAGGGCTCCTAAAGATGGCTCGTCCTGTTTGGCACACGATCTTGCGGGTTGTTGTTTTGATTTGGGGCACGACAGTTTCTGCCTGGCTGGATCGAAATAGGCGACGTCCGGGTGCGGGATGTACTGCCTGTAGGAAAAATACACGATGTTTAGCTGTATTCCTACATCTTCAGGGGGGATGGGGGGGCAGCAGTCCATGCATACAGTACCATACCTGCATGCGAACGGGGTCCGCGAAGAACTTGATGACGAGGGGGATCCGCAAGTACGGTACGGTGAGGTATTGCAGCAACAGCTCGCAGTCTCGCGACCGGAGTCGGTCTCCGAAGTCTGGCAGACTCTTGATCACGGCGGGAAAAAGAGCAGAAAGGAAGGGAAGGAACAAGAGTCATAGACAGAAAAAAAAACGAAAAATGCCATCCGAGTCTAGAATTTGCAAACAACACGACACTCCTTCATCGAAAAAGACATTGCCCACAATATCCGCTGTAGGAGTATCTGACATGGAATGCATTAGGTGACGTTTAATTGCCTTGACCCGCGAAGACTTGAAACGTAAATGTTTCCCCGGAGCCCTGCAAGAAAGTAAGTAAATGCAGGGTGTGCATAAGCTAGGCGATGCACGCCGTAGGGAATTCATCGCAACCCAACTACAATAGGCACAGATTTCTCTCTGCTATGTCCAGCGGCTGATAGAGATGAGATAGCTGCACCGTCGGTAGCAGAAGACCCAACACGAATCAGGGCCTCACCACAAGGCGCGTGAATACCACCGCAGGAAATAAATGCACCCCACCCCCCCGAGATCAAGCGGATGAACTCTGCATCTATTGCGGTCGTTGGTGCAGAATACAAATAAATACAGCACAAACCTGTACGTGCAATACGTCGTCTTCACTACCTACGGTCGTGTGGGATAAAATACAGCACATACATACCTGTATGTGCAATACGCCGTCTTCACTACCTACGGTCGTGTGGGATAAAATACAGCACATACATACCTGTATGTGCAATACGCCGTCTTCACTACCTACGGTCGTGTGGGATACAAATACAGTACATACATACCTGTATGTGCAATACGCCGTCTCCGCTACCTACAGTCGTGTGGGATACAAATACAGTACATACCTGTACGTGCAATACGTCGTCTTCACTACCTACGGTCGTGTGGGATACAAATACAGCACATACATACCTGTATGTGCAATACGTCGTCTTCGTTGTCGATCCTCTTTTCCACAAGGTTGGAAGGGTTGGCCCCCGAGGGAGGAGAGCGCGTCTTGGACATGTTCATCCCCTTCAAGAACCTGCCAACCGCACCAAGCCAACCGCACCAAGCCAACCGCACCAAGCCAACCGCACCAAGCCAACCGCACCAACCAACGACCGCGACGCCGGCACACCGATTTGCACGGGAGGGTAGAAAAAAAAAAAAAACAGCAGCAGCCGGGAGGGCGCGGTTGACCAACAACACAAACCGAAAGCTTGGAGACGGCATCGCTTGTTTACGAAACGGACGAAATACGCGCACCAACACGTTCATACCACATCGTACCTAGTGTGGTACTATCTGCAACAGCACCACTTGACGTTGACAAGGAGACAAAATCAGCTTCTCGGGGCATCAAGGACTGACATACAGCAGTGTGACTACCCTACTACAGGCGACCTAGGCAGGACAATCTCCCTTCTACAGTACAGAGGTAGATGGCACAATAAGTGTACGTACTGCAAAGCCAATTGTCGCATTTACAGTATCTCACTTTCTGAATGCTGCAAGAGCGCCTCTCGAGGCCTTCCCGTCGTCGTCGATGAACGCCTGGCAGTCCAAAGTGTGCCCACCGAACCCCTGAACACGACACGCACACACACCCGCCGGCAAACGAACAACAACAGAGTTGGGTTCACACGCCAAAAAGACCAGTGGAATCGAAGGTGCGCACATATCGCACGCATGCACAACTTTGCAGAATACACGGAGTGTTCCATGCTGTTGAGTTGTCGTCATTCTGTTGCCCTACGAAACGTGTCTGACCTCTACTTTATCAACCAGACAGTAACACTTGGAATCGATCAAAACCAGAGGAAGGGCGTCAAGAGCGGCAGCAACACACTATAATACACGAACGAATGACAGAGGACGCGCTCGGTCGCACGGGTTCTTGAAGGACAAGCGGTACGCGTGTTGACAAGAAACACCGGGTATAGTAAACATGTCGGATATTGCCACTGCCACCTCCCTCGAAACTGGCTGTGTCAGAGGTACGGTGTACATGAAATATGTACATGGACGTGAAACAAAGAGAGCCTGCTTACTTTGACGATGTAGCCCTCGTCGACACTCGTCCAGCTCCAGTGCAGCCGCGCGTCCGCTGGAGTCCAAGCTTTAATCTGAGAAACGAGCGAGGGCAGGGAAGAGGGAACGGATGGAGAAGGGAACCTGGGAACGTTCTTCTCGACGGCCATTGCACAAAAACCCACAGAAATCGGTGAGGCCTACAACAAAGACCCCGATCAACCAATCTAGTCGCGATAAACGCCTGCACATCTACACGAAAACAGTCTAGTTCTGAACTAATCTTGTCCGTCTGCCGTCTCCGATGCGAGTCGCTGTAAGGGGTTGGGTGTAGTCTTGGGGGAAAGCAGGTACCAAACACGCGAGCGCCGGACAAGCAGTCAGTAGGTTGAGCGTTGGCGCTAGGGCTAGCAGACGTATGCTAGGGTAGTTGGGTAAGTGGATGTAGCGTCTTTTGGGGAAAGCAGGTGCGGTACATACCTCCGGCAACGCGTCCGATGTGGGCGCCATGAAGGCCTTGAGGAGGTAGACGATATCCCGAAGGTACCCAATCTCCGGGTACACATCGAGCAGCTCGGGGTTGTCCCCGGAGAGGTATAGCCACGGTTCATGCCGGGAAAATCCCATGTGCAGGCAGATCTGACACGACAAGAGGTGGAATGACTCGAGTGAGCGGAACAACATACTCATTCCGTTCCCCGTTGCGTCCCGTCCCACAATATTTAATTCCATTTCAAGCTCCGCGTCGGCCTCTGCTGCTGCGCTCTGCTACGACTCCTAACACGCACACCTTGCGTAGAGAGAGAGAAAAAAGGCAAGCCGAACAATAGCTGCTCTTCAAGAAACGGTCGGTGATAAAAGAGGATCATATTGTTGCAACATGGGTATAGTCTTACACGAGCGTGATGACAACAACGCCTCTAATCTGCACTTCTATACATGATCAGGGATAGAAGAGGGTCCGATTGATGGGAACATGCGCATATTCTACGACACAAGTGTGATGTGAGGACGACAATACCTGGTCAATGAGGGCAAACTCTGCCTTGGAGAACGTCATACTCCGCTCGAAAGAAAACAGAACGTGGTCTTCTTTCAGGCCCTCTCTCTGACGGACGAAGTAGTCCAGCACCTGGCACCGCACGGCCTGGAAAGCTGCACACAAAAACCGTATTTTCCGTACAAAAGGGTTCGAGCAACACCCCGATCCACGGATGACAGCGTTCGACGCAACTGTTTAGCCTGCCATCAAGAACGAGCTTCCTTCCGAACATACCGTCGGAACAAATGCTGATTCATATGAGTACACCTGAACGAACTCTAAGACCTGTGGGCAGACAAGCTGCGCGCAGACAAGCTGCGCGCAGACAAGCTACGGGCAGATAAACCTTTGAAAACCACCGAAAACAAAAACGAACAAGATCGTGATACAGCGTAGAAGCAATAGTCTACAAAATGAGATAGCACGGGGTGCAACCTCACCAGGATCGCTGAGCTTTGCCCCCTCACTCTCCACGGCGAAGAAGCCCATCTCAAAACCGAAGGGAAACACGGGACCTGTGGTGATTGGTGATTCGATCCGAAAATCGGGTCAGCGAGTGGGGGCGGGAGGAGAGAGGGAAGGCCGCGGAGGGAGGTGGGCGAGCAGCAAGGATGCCGGGGGTAGGGCGTGGAACAGTGAGACGCTGAGGTAGACTGAGCACACAGGGAACAACAAGTCAGCACGGATAACGACAGGGCAGTACCGGGGAACTAAATGGTAGTGGCCACAAGTGTTCATTCAGTTGCACAAACAAACGGCCAGTATCAGCAGCAAAAACAGAATGCGCAACTGCACGTAAGTGAGCAACACCGCAGTAGAGGCAACCGTAAAAAGCACCTTGGTGAGCGACCACTTTGTCTGGGCAGCACACTAAAAAACAACATTACCCCCCCTTTCCTAACGATGAAGCTCGCAGGTCCTCCTTTTCCCCGCCGTTGTAAACCTCACAGTACAAGGGCAGTGCCGGCAACCAAACCGACAATCTCAACACGATCACGCCCCGATATTGCTACGTTAGTCAGCAGATTCAGTCAAGGAGCCCGATCTCCTTATACTAACCCTTTGCCCTGCCGCTGTAGTGCAACGAGCACGGGGAGGGAGTGTCGCACGCGATCACCCGCATCACGACATCCGTCAGGGCCGCGAGGCACGACATGGTCAGCATCCGCACCGCGTCGAAGCTTCGCGTGACCTTGAGGGACAGCGACGCCGCCGCGAAGTGCCTGCTGACGAGGTCCTGGAAGACGAAAAGAGGCGAAAACACACGCCCGAGAGCACGGAAAAAAAGAAAGCCGTTCTTCACGAGAGACTGGCCCAGGTCAAACGAAGAGATCGAACGCCACTGGCTCAGCGCCTTCTTTGAGGGAGGGGTCTCCCCGGGAGAAGGTGTCGCTCCGGATGAAAACAATCTTGACCGTTTCAGCTCGAGGTCGTCTCCCTCCGCCAGGAGGATGCACCTTAGATTAAGTAAGTCCCTGTGTGACCCCGGCTCGTAGTTCAAATGTACTCCGAAAGGCGTGTAGATTGGCGTCAGATAAATAGATGAGATGGACACAACACAAACACGGGGCTTCAGAGACGCAGAGGGCAACGGCACGGGTAAGCCTCAAGGGGAGGGGGTTAGGACGCTCTTGATTTGTCACCCGCACGTCTGAAGAGCTTTCGCGGCGGGGACGACGATGTTAGTTGAGGGATACGGCGAGACACCACCGCCTTGATGAGTTGCCTTGTCCTCAAATCTCACGTCCAGACACAAAACCAACCAAGGGCACGGAAAAAACACACACACACACACACACACACACACACACACACACACGCACCCACAAGCAGGCCGGTAAAAAAAAAGAAAATCCTTCCCTGCCCGTTGAAAGCCGAAGCACATACTCCAACTGCTATAGCTGCGACTATTTAGCACCATTTCAAACATGTGACCATTTCAAACATGTGAAGACTCCAACAGCACATACGTAGTGTACCCGAATGGAAGGCAGTCCTCACCAGGAGTCGGAGAATGTGTGACTGAGTCTCGTATCGCATCGTCCTCCCCGAAGCCTGCCAGAAGCACTCCTTGGAAGCTTTTGGAGACGCGTTCGGCAGCGGAATGGGTATCACCTGTGCGTGTATGGGTACGGGACGGGTATGTGCGCGGGACGGTTCGGTCTCTGTCTCGATAACCTTCTCATGAGAGGTGCTTGAGAAACGACGTCCTTAAGAAAAAACAAATCTTCTACCCATGATAGGCCGCCACATCCCCTTGCAACCGACCGCAGGTCCTCAACCTCCTCCTGTCACACCAAACAAAACCACACAGACAGGTGTCCCTTCGCCGCAACAGCCTTACGGCATCCCGTATGGTAGCACTCCGGAACGACTCACCCTCGTGACGAGGTGTGTGATGAGCGAGGCTCTGAGGAAGAAGGTGTTCTTCATCACGTTCCGCTGGTTGGACAGCAGGGTGCAAACCTCGGAGCAGCGTGTGAGCGTGTTGGCCACGTCCTCGAACGTCGACACCGAGTCGGGCACGACGGTTAACTCCACCGGACGGAGAATCGGGGGCGGCTTGTGCTCCTGCGTCAAGCGAACGTGGTGTTGGCGCGGTCAGGCTTCAAACCAAAAAAATCAAACACAAGCGATAACCGTGCCGTGTAGGCAATCCAGGGACAGGCTAGGGGGGGGTGGGGGGGACACAGGGGGGTCTCCTGTGCCTGTATCGAAACACGCTATAGGCTGCGGAGAACGGGTTGGACTCCAGTATCTATTTTCTCGGGCACATCTATCTATGGCTGACCTATGGTGACGGTTGGTATTCCGCATCGCCCCTTCGAATAACAAACGTCGTCAGCTGTCACGTGTACACGCCTTCACCCAATACAGCACTACCAGATGACACCATACCATACCATACCATACCATACCATACCCGTGCGAACCTCACCCCGACGCGCCCAACACAATTCATTCAACGCCAAATCTCAACCCTACCCTACCCGCCCTAAAAAAAAGCGCGCCACACAGCCGAGGTCAGGACAATGTCACGCTTTCCAACACGACTGCCGTATCATTCGACGCTCTCCGTCACTCCCTACAGTCGTGGATCTGATAAAAGAGGGCACCGCATAATTGGGGGCTGCGATACAAGAGGGTCCAACTCGGTTGTCACGGACTTGACGCGCTGTAGGAGTAGTTGGGTACCCTCTGAAGGAGTAGTTGGGTACCCTCTGAAGGAGTAGTTGGGTACCCTCTTATTTCGGAATAAGAGGGTCAAGGGCCCTTTTCACATCACCCTCTTGTATCGGAGCCACGGCCGTACAACCCAGAACAGCAGCCGCCTGTAGCACAAAAAACTCGCTCACCCCGGCCATGTGCTCCACAGAGGCGTCCCTCCTTAGCCTGCCGAAAAGGGGAAACACCGCCGACCACGGCGTTTTGTCGGGGTTTAGCTCCAGGCTAGACGGGCACTCCAGCAGCCCCGCACCGCCGCCGCTCCCCACCGTTGTCAAGGCCTTCACTCGGGACTGTACGGCGTCCACCGTCTGCTTGATCGCCTAAAGAAGCGAGAAAGAACCGTGGGTGGATGGGGGAGAAAAAAGAACGAAAACATCAAAGATTGGACACCATAACCTGCTGGAGATTCCTTGATCGCCACGGGAAGGCGTAAGAAGGGTCGAGAATCACACAGGAAGCAGAGAGAGGTATACTGCTGTGAGGGACACGAAAAAATTACTTCGAAACAGAAATCATATTCAAAAACGCTCCCCGAGTCGAAGGAAAAACACCGTTGTCCAGCAACAACTTTGAGGCAGGGCAGACATGCACACTTGAGCGCCCGTGAGAAACTTGGGAGCACAATCATTCCACGACGTAGTGCCTAGCGCATTCCTTCATGTCTCACACTGACGCTTCCCTTCATCCTTAAACAGAGACGACAAAACCGGGACAGCGGGGGGGGGGGATCGTCCTGAAAACCGAACACCATCATCCACCACGCATTGCCTAACGCGTAAACGTCCATTCTCATATTCACGCTTCCCTTCGTCGTTTGAGAGAGAAAACAACAGCGACAGGGAGGGTGTACTCATAGCCGTGCATGCCGTAGTCGTTAGACCATTGGCCTCGCATCGCTACGAAGCCGGGACGGAGCACGCCGGTTTTGTCACCGGACCAGGTTATCACATCCACAAGCGCCAAGTGCCGTGAGGTATTCGGCGAGTCGCATGGAGAGTGCGCTGAGACTGCTCAGGGTCTTTGGCATCTTGTGCTTACTTCCCTGTACACGCATTGCTGCTGCCAATGACTTATGACTGAAATCTATTTTCTGGTGCTTGACCAATTGAACACAACGTGGTGCGATCATCCACCTCGCGCGGAGTGAGGGTTCTCGACCCCGCACAACATAATCTACTCGACCACCCTCAAGGTTGTCGGAAAAAAACAAAACAGGCAAAAACAAGCGGTAGCCTGGTTGCCGAGCTCACGAAGTGATCGGCTTGTTTTACAATATCGCTGCCAAGCGACGAAAACCCAACACCGATGGCAAACACCGGGGGGAGGGGGGGTGAACCCGGTGGGGGGGGTGTACTCAAAGTCGTGCATGCCGTAGTCGTTAGACCATTGACCTCGCATCCCTACAAAGCCGGGACGGAGCACGCTGGGTTCTCACCGGATCAGGCTCTCACATCACCAAGCGCGAAGCGCCGTGAGGTGTTCGGCGAGTCGCATGAAGGGTGCGCTGCATCCTGCTAAGGGTGTTCGGCATCTTGTGCTTACTTCCTTGCTACGGATGACAGCTGCGTATGACTTCATTTTTTTTCTGGTGCTTTCACTTTCAGAGACAGTAGAAGCACTGTGTACTGCCTCGAGGGTGCTTGACCAATCAAACACAACGTGGTGCGATCATCCCCCTTGCGCGGAGTGAGGGTTCTCCACTCCGCAAAACATGATGTACTCGACCACCATTATGGTAACCGCAAACAAAACAACAGAGGTAAAAAAACACGGTAACCTGNTACGGATGACAGCTGCGTATGACTTCATTTTTTTTCTGGTGCTTTCACTTTCAGAGACAGTAGAAGCACTGTGTACTGCCTCGAGGGTGCTTGACCAATCAAACACAACGTGGTGCGATCATCCCCCTTGCGCGGAGTGAGGGTTCTCCACTCCGCAAAACATGATGTACTCGACCACCATTATGGTAACCGCAAACAAAACAACAGAGGTAAAAAAACACGGTAACCTGGTTGCCAAGTTCACGAAGTGACTTGGCTTGTTTTACAACGTCGTTGCCACGCGACGAAAACCCAACCCCGATGGCAAACACCGATGGGGGGCTTGTTTCACAACGTCGTTGCCAAGCGACGAAAACCCAACCCTGATGGCAAACACCGGGGGGGAGGGAACCCGGTGGGGGGGGGACAAAACACACCTGCAACTCCGCGTCGTTGGACTCAGCGCCTAAGGCAAACTTGGCGGCAGCCTTGGCCACTGTTCGACAGGCTAGCTGCAGAGGCACGGCATCGTTCCCCCTAAGCCTCGCCGCGCCCGCTGGAGGTAGCTCCCCCTCAGCCATCCTCAGCATCGTCCAACGCAGGTGCACAGCCGTGCGCTTCGCCTGGTTGCACGAACCAACGAGAGATCCCACCACCACGAAGGGTGCGGGGATGAGGGGTCGTGCTGAAACATTCATATGCTTGAGATCGGAGTGTGTGTGTGTGTGTGTGTGTGATACATTACTTGCTTGTTTCTTCCTCCGTGTTCATGACCGTTGCATCATGTACATACCTCGTTCGAAGAAGAGCACGGTTATACCCCTACCGCAGAACAGCTGCAGAACAGAGATAGCCAAGGTTGGACACTGCTGTTTCAGCTACTGCGGTTCTGTTGTGCAACATACAAAAGTAGGTGGTGGAGCGACTCCCAGGCTGCCGACATTTTACATATGAGACACCATGGGGGGGGGGGGGG